GTGCGGGGGGGTTCGGGCGTGAGCCCGCTGGGGACCGGGGCGCTGCCGCAGTGTGCTCTGTGGGCGCGCGTCCCCCCACCCTCACGCGCACCCCCAGAAGAACGAGGACGAGTGCGCCGTGTGCCGGGACGGCGGCGAGCTTATCTGCTGCGACGGCTGCCCGCGCGCCTTCCACCTGGGCTGCCTGCGCCCGCCGCTGCGGGGTGTCCCCAGGTGTGAGCCGGCCAGGCAGCCCCCCACCCCGCATTGGGGTGGGAGGCAGGACAGGGCTGCGTCCAGGGCGGGGATGCGGGTGTGACGTCGGGAGGCGCTGGGGTGCACAGCCCATGCCCCGCCCACCGAGAGCCCCCAGCGGCTCCCCCTGGGCCCCACTCCTGCCCCCCAGGACCTTGACCCCGTCACCTCTCTCTGGGGCTCCGGCGCTTTGTCACTAGAGCAAGGGGGTTCTGCGGTGCCGGTCCCCACCCCGTCAGGCAGGGGGCGCCCGCTTCGGGGAGCAGCGCCGAGACCCGGGGCACTCTGGCCAGGGCCCCTCCAGCTCACCCCCTGCCCCGCACCCCCGCAGCGGCACCTGGAGGTGCTCAGGCTGCGTCCAGGGACCAGCGCCGAGGAACCTGCTCCAGGCTGAGGCCCCGCCCCCCGCGCAGCCGGCAGACACCCCGGTAGGCACAGCCCTCCCGGGGCTGTCTGCACCCTGCGACCTCGGGGCACTTTCTGCGGGGCTCCAGGCTCAGTGCTGACTGGGGGAGCCCTGTGGGGCCCGCACGGACACCCCGCTGGCAAAGATGGGGGAGCGGGGCGCGTGGGGGTCAGGCTGCGGGCTGGGGCCCCCTCTTTAGCAGGAAGCCCCGGCCCTGGAAGGCTGCCGCCGTCCCCTGCGGTCCCCGCCCGCCACTGACCTTCCTCCAGGTTCTGCTGGGTCTGGAGTCTGCGGGCGAGGAGGCCAGGGGCCTGCCCGGGCAGCCCCCCGCCGGCGTGGACGCCGACGCCACCTACCAGCACCTGCGGGCCCCGCCCCCCACAGCGCCCCTGCGGGGGCTGGACCCCTCCACGCTGCGCCCCCTCCTGTGTCTGGGCCCCGAGGGGCCGCAGGTGGGGGTCTGCAGGGCCGCGGTGGGGCCCCAGGGGGCTGGGGGGCACGCGGAGGCTCTGAGGCCCCCAGGGCCGGCGCTAGGGAGGGGTGAGGTGGCCAGGCTGTGGTGTCTCACGTGGCCAGGCGCCCCACCCTCCCGGGCCCCCCGGCCTAGGGGGCGGGGACCACGGGGTCGGCCTGGGTTCTGGGAGCCGGGCAGCCGGGCGCAGGGTCA